CAGCATGGGAGTGATCAATACTACCTCCACACCAAGTTCCCACGGGAGTGGAACGAAGATGGGGAAGGCCAGGACGGATTTTTCGGGAAGGATCGGTTTACGATTTATTTATTCTCGAGGATCGTCTCTCCGATTAGACGGTTTTAAGCAAGGTATTCGCAAGTTCGATATTCTTCGAATAGAGAATCCCTCGCGAGCAAGTAGCAATTGTTCGAGAATAATTTTACAGCTCGCTTTGAACGTTCGTTCAAGATCGAGGGGAAAATAGAGCGATATCACATTCGATTTAAATACTTGATGTCCTCTCGAAATCCTTTCTTCAATTTCGCATCTCGTCTGGAACGATAGCTTTCGAAGCCAAGTCTCCGCTATTTATTTATTTCAAGTGTTAAAGAAGGTGTATTTCGAAAAAGGGATGAAACAGTTATTTTGAATAATCGACGACATAGCTTCCTGAACGAATCTCCTGAACTAATTGCTTTCACTTGGAAAATAACATAGAAAACCGTCAACGTCCAAATTCCAAAGTGATATAAAGATATTTATGGATTTTAGTTTTTGGATATCAAAAATAGATATAATGTTTCGCTTAATAAACACGGATGGATTGGCGAGAATTCGAGGGGATTTCCAGGAAATCGTCCACTAGGAGGATCTTTAAAAATTTCATGAAAATTTCGATCGGATTTGAAGAGGCTAGCTCTACTCGTGGACATAGCGGAGGAAAAAGGAAGGCAGAGTGTAGTATCCGTAGAAACGGATGTATAACCGATGCGTGCGTGACTGGAGGCTGTTAACCTAAACAAGGAATACCGCGCCATACTCGATAGCCCACTGACTCCGTTTCTCCGCGTACACGGTGGAAAAAAGATTCGACCAGTTTTAGAATATCGCGGTGCCTATCGATTTCATTCGATTATTTCTCTTTCGTTCAACTCGACGAACAATTACGGTTACAATATCCTCCGATTTCTTGCCCTTCGACGCTATCACTTTCCTCCCTTTGCCGATGTTTCGACGCTCGATCTCGTATACACGGACGCTGACCAATTGATCCAATTTCCGTCACCTCTCGATTGACATTGCATCGGTGGCATCGTTTAATCGAGTTTCAAGCCTGGGCCCCAGTTCAGTTGAATCGAAACGAGTCGAATCGTGACAAGGGTTGCAACTAATTGTGAGTTCGGCCTGTAGAGTGTAGAGAGGGATTGGAGAGAGGGAGAAGGGATATATCGATAAATATCGTTTGGATTGAATGTAATTGGAGTTTGTTTTAAAAATTGTTGGTTTGAGATATTAGCAAGGATTAAGGATTATTCCGTTAGAGAAGATATCAATAAAAGTGGACCTTATTGAATATGATTTCATTGCGTTTTAATGATGCTGGAATAAGAAGATGTAAAAATTGTGGCCACTTTTATCTCGTAAACGAGATATCATCGAGAATTATATCGATAGAACAACTCTTCTAGATTTCGAAGAGAGGACAACACACGTTTGAAGATATTCTCTTAGAGAAATCACGTCGAAGAATTTTTCCATTCCTCTCGAAAATAAAGGGATGTTTATTGTTAATCATAAAATAATTTAAACCGTAGCTGAAGGAGGGGGAGGATATATCGTTGTTTCATTTCTCGCCAACTGGGCCAAACGTTGGATTAATCTTCCCTCATGGCCGTTCCTTTAAATCAACAGCAACAAACTTTCTCGCCATTGAAAACTAGAGATATCCCGTTTCTTGAGGATTTCCTCGCGAAGTTATCGACCATTCCATTTCGATCCCGTTCATCGATATATCGATATATATATATCGGAATTTTTCGGGAGTGAAGGAGGAGGAGAGAATTTGGAATTGGGCGACAGCGAAAATTAAGGGGGTGGAATCCGATATTTTAATCCAAAGAGAGAGAGAGAGAGGGAGGGAAAGGATTCTCGTCCAGGTCGATACACGCATCAGATTAAAATCGCTCGTTTCGCTCGTGAGCCCCGGACAATCAGAAATTGCAATTTTTCAGCGAAACTGATCCTCGAGAAATCTCATCTCGACTTTCGATGGGCTGCTCTTATCGACGTTATTATACTCTGCCCTGTTTCTTCCCCTTTGATAAGGGAAGAACGAGGTAAAAAAGAAAAATCGCCAATATATAAGAAACATTCTCTTAAATACTTTCCAATCATTGAATCATTCATTAGAGTTTCCAAGGATATTATATCTGAAATGTGGGATAATTTAGGGATAAGAGAAGGGACAATTCTCCTTCCTTTTTTTACAATTTGCAATATGTAAATTCTTTACATAAGAAATTACACGAGAGAAGTATTATTACTTTTATTTGTACGCCCTTTCTTTCTTTCTATAATTATCTCACATTGTTGGAAAAGAACGAGATTCGACAGAATTACATACACATTTTAATTTTTTAATTTCGTTTCGACTCGATTATTCTCAATTCTTCTTCGTTTCGAGACCACATCTCGAATAAATATTCCCCAATACTATCGAAATTTAAATTTTTCCTGGAAAAAAGAGAAGGTTGTACTTTCTTTTTTTCTTTTCTTTTTTTTTTTTTTTTTTTTTATATATAAAACGAACCGCACACACACACACACACACACATTATCGACACCGATGCGTCACCCGGTGACGGAAATCGAATCAGATACGATTCGCGGAAACACGTTGTCTGATTTTAGATTACAATGGCACAATCGATAAGGGGCATAATTTATTTAACCGTAACACGAGAGCCGAGTAAACCGTGACTACGTGAATTATTATTTCGTTTTTATTTCGCAGAATTCCGTAGAAAAATTCGGCGACGCATTGGAACAGGATATAGTACAATGCTTCGTCCAAAAAGATCGATCAATTTAATCGAGACGATACCGCACGTGTTAAGAGGGAGTTTTAGACACAGATAGAGAGAATTTTTAACCGAGGCTTTTATTATTCCGACGCTCTCCCCTTTCCCTCTCGTTATTAATCGTAAAAGGCCGTTTCGCGATTCTCTCGTTTGTTATTGGAACGCCATTCCATCCTTAGCTTGACGTATTTATATCATGTAAAACTCGTTATTTCGCATCAATCCACGATACCGTCGCGCCTCGTTATCCAACGTGTTAATTTTTATCTCTTGGCAAAAATATCGAGCGAAATTTCCAAGGTGAAATGATTCGAATTTCCTCCTCCAGATTTTTTTGCAAGGATGCAATTTTTTTTTTTTTTTTTTTTTTATTTAAAATTCGGATCAATATTTGCATCGCTTAAGCGTTTAAAGACTACGTCGAATATTCGAATTTTAGCGAAAATATTATTTGGCTCGACGGTGCTCGCTTTTTTTAATTTAATGCCGTTAATTATATTCGTGGAATCGAATATTCACGAGAAAATTTCTTATTATTCAGTTCGTCGTTCCTCTTCTTCGTTATTTCTTTCCTACAAAAAAAAGAAAATCCGTTCCTCCACGTTGTTTCCCACGATCCAATTGAACGTAAACAGAGTTGTTCGTTTTTAGATTCTCGTTCTTATCAAAGCGAAAGTTGCGAGGGCGATCGTATCTCGAAATCGTAATCCGCGAATCGCTCAAAAAGAGAGACGTTATTCGTGACACGTGTCGAGGGAAACAAGGGGGAGGATAATTTTTTGGCGTGTCTCTTTCTCTCTCCTCGTCGAGGAGAATTCGTCGTCGGGGTGAATTAAAACCTCCGCTATTAACGCGCAAATTGGATTATTTTATGACTCGGGCGCGGTGTCGCGCGGTTTTTTGAATCAAGTTTTTCTTCTTTCTTTCCTTTTTTTTCTTTCTTTTTCTTCTTTATCGAGGAAGACTTTGAAAGCCGAGAGCAAGATTTGCCGCGCTTGAGTGGCTGCCGCTCACGTTCTTTCCTCTCCGCGGGATTTTTTTCGAGAGGGAAAAAGCGCGGTTCGTTCGGCGCTTCCTCCCCCTCCTCCTCTTCCTCCTTTTTCTTTCTCGTCGCGTTTCTTTTCAAAATCTATCGAGGCGTTAGGCGAGCGAATTTAATTAGAAAAGTTTCGGAAGGGAACTACTACCTTTCCACTTGTCGCCATTTTTTACGACCACTTTCTTCCCCTCCCCCTCGCGCAACGAGTCCGCAAGGGTGGAAAAGAGCGCCTCTTTCGGATCCTCGAGTCCCATCGAACGCCGCTGGAGAAAAAGTTTGGAATACTCCTTTTGTTGTTATTGTTGTTGTTGTCTTCAAGAAAGATTCGCGATAAATTTAGACGACAGGCGAGAATAGCCCGTTTATAATTGTTGAAAGCAGGGTGTGCACCTTCGTTTTCATTCTCTCTCCTCGAATCCAACCTCCTCCTCCCCCTCCTCCTTTCTTTAACAAGATCCGTAACTATGAGTAGCAACTAACCGACCTTACGCAGATAACGTTTCGAGCCATGAGGACGCATCAGCTGCGGCTCGCATCGCCTGGAATGTAGTCGTTGGTAGAAGAGGAAAGAGCCGCAAAAGGAAAGAGACAAAAGGAAGAGAGAGAGGAGAGAGAGAGAGAGAGAGAGAGGGGGGGCGTTCAACAGTGGCAACAGAGGGAGGAATCGAGCGGAAATAACGGTGGCAGGCAGGGACAGGCAAATGTCCTCGTCGAGCTTCCGTGAAATCTGCCCACGAGAGCCGAGAGGAAACAGAGATAGCGGCGCGAGACGTCGCTCGACCTCATCAATTACGTTGACACGATAAAACTCCCTCGAAGAGTGAGGGATCGTCCCCGGTCTCGATCAAAGCCACCTGGCTGTGTTTAAAAAAAAAAAAAAAAAAAAAAGAAAAAAAATAATCGTAATCGATAGTGTTCAAAACGATCTCGTCTCTTCGGTCGATCGACGATTGAATATATATGTATATATATATATATTTATTTCGCGAGGGATACAGGAGGTGAAACTGGTATAGAATAATCGAGGAGGAGGAAAGGGGTGGTGGTGGTGGTGGTGGTGGTGGTGGATCGAGAAGAGACGAGGGTTAATATATATACAAATATATAGTTATAGTCTAGCCGATATATGAGGAGAAGAGGGAGGGAGAAGAGGAGGAATCATCGAGATATATCCGCGTAGTACAAACGTAGCAAGAAGAAGAAGAAGAAGAAGAGAAAAGATATTCAATTAAAATTCAACACACACACACACACTCGTCGTATGTCAATCGTATCGATACGTATCGTAGCTGTAAAACAACTTCCAAATACTTCGATAATATCAATGATAATCCGTGTGATAGAGAAGCAATAAAAGGATACCAAAAAAAAANAAAAAAAAAAAAAAAAAAGAGAGAAAAAAGAATCTCAAATTCGTATTCGTAAGTATATTCGTAAGAGAATCGTGTTTATATTTCGCTCGGCTGTGGTTTGTGTGCGTGTGTCTATCGACAAAAAGAAAAAAAAGAAGAGAAAAGAAAAGTCGTGCTCGAATCTCGAAGCTGATCGAACGAGGGGAAAGTGCGTGGACACGATGGCGTTCGCTGCTGCGAGAATGATCCTGAAAGACAAGCGGCGGAAGACCAGCAAGGAGGATTTTGGAGGACCAAGGAATAGGAGCAAGGTAATATCGAGACGAGATTTTTCTTTTTTTTCTTCTTCTTCATTTGCGAAAAAAAACGACCACGATTCAGCCACCGAATTCTCTCGAAAGAATTCTTTTGAACCGACGACGATATTTCGATATTTTATTCGAACATTTCGAATCTTTTTCTTTTCTTTTTCCTTTTTTTTTTTTTTTTTACAACAAAACTCGGCAAAGAGACGGAAAATGGAAAAGATTTTTTCAAGGACGGAATCAAAGTTTGAGCTGGCTTGGCTATACCTTAACACACTTTACCTCTTTCTTCTTTCTATCTTCCATTGTGTAGAACGATTCTTTTTTTCTTGCATCACACTTTGGATAACAATTTTTAAACGTACATGCGCGCGTTCACATCCGCATGAATCTCGACTTATTATTAAATAATAATCCAGGATTAATGTATTCGAGGTGATAAATATCTGGGTTATTAAGGAGTCAACGCGTGCTAAGTCGAAGTCTTTTTCTCGAATTTCGATGAAATGATACGGTTGAAATGAGGAGGGGGGGGAGAGGAAAGATACGAGATTCGAAAGAGATCCGGATTATTGCTTTGGAAAAAATTAATGCCGATTATAATTCGAAAGAAGCAACTCGTCGTTAGCAACTTATTATCGTCTTTGGCGATATAATAATTCGGTCGAACGAAGCTAATGGTTTTCATCCATCCGATCTAGTTCAAAGTTTGAGCAACGAGAGAGAGAGAGAGAGAGAGAGAGAGAGAGAGAGGAGATAAGAGAGCTCGTTTAAGATCCCCTTGTCGTTTCTATCGAGGGACGGAAATTAAATCCTTCTTCGACCGGACGTCCAACTTTCCCAAATCCGTTGCTCGAATCGTTTTTCGCGCGGAATACATTCCATTTTTTCCTTTTTTTTTTTTTTTTTTTTTTTTGCTTTCTGCTTCCGCGATAATTAAGAGCCTGTCGGTTTTTTTGCTTGGCCGCTCCTTGCTAATCAATTATCGACTCGCTTATCGAGGGAACGAATTTTCCGTCGAGAGTACCGCGAGATGGATGAAATATTTCAAGAAGACGTAAAGTTATTTTACGCGAATGATGTATAGTTGACTGATCGTTACAAACAGCAGAAAATCTCTCTTTCTCTCTCTTTCTCGTTTAATGCTAATCAATCGTCGGAGAAAAACGAAGAATTTTCCGCAAGAGGGGGAATAAATATTCGCGAGAATAAATATCCTCTCTAGAGGATAATCGCGATAATCTGAAAATAATCGAATTGAACGAACAACAGCAGAAAACAATAATCGACGATCGAACGAATTATTTTCTTCAACTTTGAACTCTCGAAAATGGATTCGTTACGTACGAAACGAAACAGAGACAGAATATTTCCAGAGAATATTCTTATTCTCGCGCGTTACTTTCGCCGGATTACGCGGCGGTATCCTCTTGAAAACATCCCTGATCCCTAAAGCGTGAACCAGCTTCGTGCGCGGGTATATGTGCGCGCCTCTTTCTCTCGTTTTATTCGCGTTTAACCAGGTCGTTTAGCTTGCCTCCCTTCGGCTTGTCGCGTTCGCTTCTGAATACGCACGCGTATTTCCCTCCTCGGACGGGGGGAGGCGAGGGAGGAGGGGGAGGAGGGGGAGGGGGGGAATAGCGGTTGACACGTAGCGGTGTTCATTTCGAAAAGTAGGGGGAGGGGGAAGAGTAAGAGGGAAGAGTATCGAGCGAGGAATGAAACATGAGGCATACGTTAAAGATTCAATTATTTAACGAACGTTGTTCGAGGCCGATACATTTATTCGAAGCGGACTCGTGTCGAACGTGGCACGTAGCGTGCCACGACAAATTGCCCCCCCCCCCCCCCCGGTTGCGTAATTGTTTTGCAAATTTTCGCCCCGGAACGGCACGACGCCCGTGGAAATATTCGCCCGGCCGTTGTGTGTGCGTGTGTGTGTGTGTGCGAGCCCGTCGCGCAACTCCCACGGCGGGCATCCAATTAGCGAACCGTTTACCGGCCGAGTGGAATTTTAATGATCCGTGGGCTTCAATTTTTGAACAGGCAGCGGCTTATATCTTATCTCCTTCGAGAAAGCGCTTCGCTGTTTCTTCTTCAATTGCCGTTTCCGGCCAATTTAGCGTCTCTAAATTAAGAAATCGTTAGCGAAAAATATCAACACGGGTTTTTTTTTTTTCTCCGGATTGGTTGAAAATTCTGCGAGAAGGATTACCGATTTGTCCTTTCCTTTTCTTTTTTTTTTTTTTTTACTCTTTTTTCGAAGAGAATTTTCAGAGATCTTTCCAAAAACGACGAATGTTTTTGGAATATGTAGAATAAAATTTTACCATTTTAAGGTTTCTCGAGTTTGAATATTTTTTAAATACGAGTTTGAATATTTTTTTAAATACGATTTTGGCTGTATTCCCGATCGGAATACGAACGAAATGTGAACGAAACAGGGAGTAATTGTTTTATTTGAAATCTTGGTTTCTTTTTAAAATTCCATTTTCCCGAAAATTAATTTCTAAAATGGAAACGTTTATTCTATACGTTGGAATTAAAATATTTCCAACTTACTCTTACCCATTTTTTGCGCGCTTTTTTCCCTTTTATACGTTTATACATATTTTTCCACGACACGTAGTTTTCGAAACGATTCTTTAACACGATCGTTTCCTCTCTCAAAATGGCTAGTATATCGGAATTTTTGCTCGGCCGGCTCGAGAAAGAGATTCTCGTAATTGCTCTTTGATCGGCAACGCTCTCGAATCCACACACTCGGTAAGCACGAGCCCGTGCTTTTGAAATTCCTTCGCGTTACATACTTCTGTGTAAAAAAGGAGATACGAAAACGGCGCTTCTCATTGCCACGGATTAATCGCGTCTCGACACGAACTCGATTAATTCGTTGGACGGAGGGTGGGGAGGAGGGAAATTTTAGAATTTCAATCCTCCGTCAAACCTTGCAGATTGAGCTTTCCACGAAACCAATTAAAAACGACCTCTCTCTCGCGAGTAATCGAGAACAAATCGCAGCAAGGTCGAAACGTTGCCTTTTCTTTTTTATCTCGTCGAGGGACTGTGTGAAAAGTGCGTGCAATTATCGGATCGGATTAATCGAATTATTCGTCAACGAGGCAAGTACAGATTGATTTTAAAATGTATTTCTACATTTCTACGTTCAATTTACGTGATAATTATCGAATCGGTCGGGACGTTTCACGGTTTGATTGAAATGCTTGTCCGATGGGGAAATTGGCGGGAAAATTTGAGATTCATGCGGAAGACACGATCCGATGAAAGAAAAGAAAAAAAAGGAAAATGGCAATCGGATCAACACGAGACCAGATAACACGAATTTCCTCTCCACTTTGTCACGAGTCTTTTTTTAAGCTTCTCCTAAACGCTTTGATTGTACAGAAAGAAAGAAAATATATATATATGTGTGTGTGTATACATATACACATATATACACGCGTAACCGCGAGAAACACGACGAAAACTGGCCTCGTAATCACTGAGAACCCACGCTATGCTCTCGTATACATGTATGTTCAGTGTGCACTGCTGTCAATACGCTGTATATACTATACCACCATACAGTGATACAGTGAAATACGACAAATTCCTCGGCTGCTACTGTCCCTGCCGGCGAGAAAGATCTCTCTCTGAAGAGAGATTTTAAAAAATTTACCAATTTTTACGAATTCTTAAGAACGAATTATTAGAGATCTTTCTTCGCTGGCCAATCGTCTTGCCCACAGTTATGTTCTTTCCCCTATTTAAGATGATGTTACTCGTCGAACTAATTGAGTCAACATTTTTACATGTACTACCATCTTATATTCTGTGTACTATATATCTATGTATATTCTATGGCATATTCTTCATATTTGTACTCTTTTCCAACTGCAGTGTGGTGTGGTGATTGGTGACCTGTACTGTACTTGTGTTTACAGGCCCGCAGCGCCAGTACAAGTAGCTTTAGAAGCCTGAGCCAGGTACATACCAAAAATGACATAATACCGATACATATAGCTGAGAAATTAGTTGGTACTAGCTACATTAGCTAGTAATAACGTAGCTAGAGAACACTTAGAATCTAGACACTTGAACTTATATTATATTATACATTTGCTCGTGATGCGTAGATGAGTAGATTGTCGGCGTTTCAATTTTGGTGGATACAATATATATAATAATCCCCCGTGAGAAAAGGAGGAATCTCGAGCTTTTTATCTCGAGTGATCGGATATCAAAAAAATGAATTAGGATTTACGGCTCGCTGAAGGCCTTTGATTCAAAAAGAAAGGAAAGAAAAATATGGTAGTAGTGACACGATGTGTAGCAGCGTACGTGCATGCATCCAACAGTTTTTTTGTCTTCTTCCCACAGGAGGAATGAAGCATGCAACCCCACGCCACACGCACACCGGACACCGTTCAGTAGAACATGCATGACATTTCCCCGCCTGCTTTTCTTTCCAAATCTACACGTGCGTCTCCTTCTCTTAATCTTTTTTTTTTTTTTTNTTTTTTTTTTTCTCTCTCTTCTCCGATTCTTTTTTCTCTTCTCATTTTTCTCGACACGAGGGAGCAACGTAAGTATCACGGATGATGGCTGGATAGGTGGCGCGTTCGAATCGCAACCGGAAATGGGAAAGTTTCGAGGGGGGAGGCAAAAATTTTTCTACACTCCGTGTACTCTTTTTATCGAAATGTTGGACGCAGCAAGTTGTTATCTTGCGCGTTCCGCAAGATTCCTGGAGATGGAAAACAGGTGTTTTTTCCATTTTTTTTCTCTCTCTCTCTTTTTTTCGAACGGACGGATTTTCGAGAACAAAGAGACGAGAGCTCTCCGTGTTCTCGTTTTTTACCTGGCTCGTAATAATAGTTTATTTTATTCGAATATTTCGACTCGTTCCTCGTCGCGATATTAATCAAGCGAGCTGTTTCAATCAGAAGTCGTTTTATCGTTAGAAGCTAGACTGGACTGCAATGCGAGTGGGGCGTGGTGCCACG